ATCTTTGCAATTTTGATTCATTAATCTTGTGCAACAGTTTAACTGTTTTTCTGCTTTCCACGTCTCTTCCTCCTTTAAAAAAAAAAAAAAAATTAAAAGACTATTTTGGTCCTGCAAGTTTCAAATTTGCAATAAATCCATCCTTAAACTTTAAGAAATATCAAAATTATCCTTAAACTTCTATTTTTGACACCAATTTTGTCCTTCCATTAATGGAAGTAATAGCTGGCATGTTAACTAGCTAGAAAATCAATCTTTTCTTTTCTTTTTTTACAGTGACATGGAAAAGAAAACATTCCTTCTTAATTAGTTGGCTTTTTTTTTCCTTATCCACAACAAAATAGGCATTTTTTCCACGTTGAAAAAAAAAAAAGGAAAGAAGAAATTATTATCTTCTTCCTCTTTCCGTTTCTATCTCCCTTTCTTTTCTTTTCCCCTACCTCTGTGAACCCTAGAATTAAAAACATGTTGCCATTACCACTTCTCAACACCATTATTCTCTCAACTACAAAATCATCTCCTTCTCTTTTTTGTCCATTTAAAACCTAGCCATGGACCTTCTTACCATAGATGAAAATAAGCACTTTTTGCCAAAAAAATTCTCAATCTTCATCTATCCAAAATCAAAGATTGGGTTTAGGTTGAAACCAAAGAGGTTCTTGTTATCAGGTCTCGTTTAGGTCATAATACATCACATATGAACCTTAGTAGGGTCAAATTTGAATTGAGAAGCCTAGATATTCCTAATATGAGAGCCTAGATTTTGAGTTGTTGGAGATTTGGAAGAGAATGAGGGATAGAGAAAGGTTAAAGATAAGGCTATCTTAATAATTTTATTATCCAAATGGATAGATATGTAATTTACATTGAAATAGTAAAATGAGTTGAACAACAACCACGCTAGCGAGAATAGTCAAGTAATTTTACTTAGTATAATTTATTGACTAATTAAAAATTTTACTTTATGTCATCATTTAAAATTAAATAAAAATGCCAACTCATCAAAAAAAAAAAAAAGGCTAGCCATGATTTTTTTTTCCATGTTATTTTGGTACAAAAATACCATGGAAAAAAAATATCATGGCTGGCCATGTTAAGAGAAAAAAAGATTATTTTTTGGAAAGTTAATGTGCTAGCTTTCTCTTCCATCAATGGAAGGATGAAATTGGTATAAAAATAAAAGTTTAAAAATAACTTTAATATCTTTTAAAGTTTAAAAATAGATTTAGCACAAATCCAAAATTAAGGGACCGAAATAATATTTTAACCTTCTTTTTATCTTGCGATCAGCATTGCCAACATTAACTACTATTTACCAGTTAAGCGCCAGCGTACTGATAAACAAAAGATCTTTAAACTTTGAACTGTGAGATTTTAAGTTTGAGGGTCAAAGATGTGTGCTAACTTTTCAATATGTTTATAATAAAAAAATTCTTGAGATTGGTATCCCTTAATTTGTTGTGAACAATATAATTAGCTCATCAATAATAATTTTTTTAGTTAAAATATTCAAAGTCTCGTGACATAAATAAGTTAGGAGACAAGAGAACTTGCTTCTCCGATCATGCAACATGATATAAAAAATTTTCAAGAATTTGTAACAAATTTGTACTTTATTGATTTAGAGGTTGTTTGTCAAATGTCACGTGTTTGAACTCGGAAAAATGCAGCCTTTTTGCGCATGGTAGGTTGGATTTAAAAGTAGCTTTCTAAATTAATTAATAACTTTTTAATTTATATTTTTAAGATATAGACTAAAAATATTTTTTATAATAAATTTACATAAAAATTAATATTAATTTTAAAATTAATGTTTTACGAATTTTTTATTTTTAAAAAACTTTTTAAAATACATGTTAAAAAAATCTATTGATTAATTAGGGTTTAATTTCTACTACCACTGCTCCTACTTAGTGGTAGGTAACTTTTCCACCTTCCGATTCTCCAGCTACTACTTTTAAGCAACTTTACTAAGTCGGCTATTTCCAAAGCCTTGGACAAATGCAACATATGAGAAAGTGTTAGGTTGAATATTTTTAAATCACTCACCTTTGTTGGAGCAACTTTTAATCTACTCATTCTCTTTTGAACTTGTAAATGAATTTTTTTAACGTTTGATTCTTAAAAATAATTAAAACTTTAACATTAAATTATATCATTTTATTTAATTAAAACTTAATTTAAAATTTAAAAAATTATCTTATTAAATGTTAATATTTAAATTTAGAAAGTGATTAT